TCTCTCTCTCTCTCTCTCTCTTTCGCTCTTTATCTCTCCCGCGCTATTTGCGCACAGTCAACTCAGTTGGTATCATGCTGGACAACAAAGCGGATGACCCCGGTTCGAATCCACAACCTTCTGAGCTTTGGCTGTTTTAGTTTTAGGGAGACTACCCTTTTATTGTTTGTTTTAGTAAGGTTTTACGGCGCTCGCAACTGCATAAGGTCATATATGAACGCCGAGGGGCGGATGTCAAAAGAGATGTCCAAACGGGGAATCGGGCTTACTCTGCTCACCTCTCTAGCTTCAACAGCACAAAGTTTGCTTTGACTAGCAACAAGGCACCCCGGAAAGAAGTGACAAATATACAAAAGAAGTAGAGGAAAAATGATGATAGTAAGGGTGGAGAAAGAAAAAGCAGCAGTTCCCCCAATGTTGTTCCGGCACAGTATGAGTATGACATTGACAAATCAGACCATTTACAATTCTACTGTGCTTTACTCTGCTCACCTCTCAAGACTCAAAAGCACAAACTCTGCTTCGACTATCAATCCACCCCGGATATAGCGGTTCACAAGGGAGTAAAAAAAACTTACAAAAGAAATAGAGGGTCAATGACGATAGTAAGAATGAGGAAAGCAAAAGCAGCAGTCCCATGTTGTCCCGCCCAGTATGAGCATGACACAGATAAATCAACCTATTTACAGTTCTACTGTACATAAGAACATGTTAATATCCCTTCTTTGGGAATGGCCTAAAGACAATTCAGCTAGTAGCACTGCCCTGGGGGGGGGGGGAGGGGGTCTAGATCTACCCTTTTGGCTCGGTCCTATCGGAGATGAACTCTAAATTGATGGTGGTTGGCGGGTGCTCTGGAATGGTCAGCTTCTTCTTTCTTATCAAATATATATCGTCCTTATCTCTCCTCTTTTTTGTGTTTGTTACTCTCCTTTAAAACCCCTAATCTTCGGCACTTTCAAGAGCTTGGAGAATTGCATTGAAAAACAGGATACATGTAAATCGATCTTTTTCTAGCGTTCGAAAGAAGACATAAAAATCATAAATGCTTTTCAAATATATTTATTATTTTTGTTTCTCGTTTCTCTTATTTACAATACAATGTGAAGAGATATTTCGCTCCCCTTTGAAGCAATAAATTCGTAATTGTTGAAATGCTAAAGAATTGTCACTTCAGTCACAAGCATGTACTTTCATATCGTAATAACAAGAACATGACATATTAACTGATCCTCTAAGACAAAATTTTACTGGAAACGCGAAAGTAGAACTTAATATTAGTGAAAGCATTACTTACAATAAGAAGAAAAAGAAGTAATTTCAAAATACTCGGATAGCAGTTAAAAGTATAGAAAAAGTATGTTTGAAGAATATAATTACATGCATAGCAATACTGGTTAGACAGAACACAAAGTCAATAATTTGCTGTGACCACAGTCAGGAAACGGGAGTCCTCTTTGTTTTTACCCAACAACGGTTGAGCCCAAGCTCTCCTTGCAGTAAGGGGGCAGCACGAAAGAGCTCTCGTCGACAGCAGGATTAAAGTCAGCCATAACGCTGTGAACGATAAACAGAACAAATATATATA